TTTTATAGTTGGAACTAGAAACTTCGAAGTTAGTAATAATGCGTGCTGCATCACCCGTTAAGTATGACATTAAATAATGAAACTTATGAATTGGAGCAATTCGCTCATTGTTATGAATTAAACTCAGAAACGTGTCACGGAACTCAAGCCAACGGAAATATGATCCGTCAAACTTAGCAATCTGTATTTGGGGCAATTTAAATCCCAAAACATCATGATGATCGATATTACACTGAGCTGATGACTGACTAGAGTTAAGATCTTTGTAATTACTTTCGTCATGTTTACTTGCATTATGTTGTTTAATAATGCTTTGAGCGGAAACGATGTTTGTAATAAATAACTGCTCAATGTCATCTCGCTCATCAACCTCGTTTGTCAAATCACTACGATTCAAAACCTCTATCTGAGTCTGCAAGTCGTCAAATCGATTTGACAGTGACTCAAATTTGCTAAGCTTAAGTGTCAATTCAGCAAGTTCAAGAGAAGTTAGTGTTTCTTTTGAGCTTGTCTGAGTTAAATAGTTCCGAAATTTAGTTATTTGCCCCTTTATGGAGCTACGTTTAACAAAAAGATCCAGCAAATCTTGAGAGTCTTTTGCACTAGTTTCACCTCCCATGATAAATAAAAATTATAAGTTTCTAATATATTAAGTAAAAAGTTTGTAAATTAATGTAATATAATTATTATATGTAACTGGTAAAAGAAGCAATAAGAAAAGCAAAGTCTAGTACTACAGATAATGAAATGAATGCAAAAATAGAATAAAATCTGTTTAGTTAATTAATAAATTAAAAATATTAAAGTTATCTCACGCTCCTCGACTAGACGTGACCTGCACTGGAGTCCGGCCCTGCTGCACTCTCACCCGGAACCCTGGGACACAGCGGGGCTGAACTTCTTTATCGCAGCCAGTAGGTAACGTGCGAAGGCGCACCGTTTGTCTGGAATGTTCGGCTAAATTGTGTGAATTGATTGCAAAAACAACAATGCAAGAAAGGATAAAAAATAATAATTAGGCACAGTGGGTATTCAGTTATTTAAAGAACTATCTAGCAAAATTTGTACCTAGCGACAGTACCCGCTTATTGTTGGGTGGCCGTCCGCTTGTCTTCCTTTGTTAATAATATAAATATAATTACTCAATGTAGAAAATAATAACGAAAATTAAGAAACACTTTTTTGGTTTGGATATTTTTATGATGTGGGTAAGACTCACTATGATAAAAACTAAAATGAATTGAAATTATATTGAAAAGATAAAAAACACTGTATAAAGACAATTAGCACAAGTACAGACTAATCGATTTGGGTAAATAGGAAAAAATGTTATTGGAGTTTAGGTTGGTGTGATTATATAGACGGAAAAGTATGGGAAGGGCACTTAGCTGCATTGGCCTGGGCTGCGGCTCGATGCTGATTGCTGATCGATGACCGGCGATGGCTGCAATGGCTTGAGCTCCAAGATCCCGTGGATACAGTTGAGGACGGCAGCTGGTTTCGGCGAATACGTTTCTGACCGATACTATGACTTGACCATCCGATTGAAAAAATGTTCTTTTCCGAAGAATTTTGAAGGTTCTTTTGACGGTCGCCAGATGTTGGATGCTTGGGTTTCTTCAATAAAACTTCCACAATCGATTTTGTGCTTGTATTCTCTTTATACAGGTTTTTGATATTTTTTTTACGTTGCGTACAAGTTAGCTTGGCACGGCCATTAATTGAAGTGTGTAAAAATTGTGTCGGTGAACATAAATAAAAATTTAACATTGCTCAGTAAAATTTCGTAGGCGTTAACAGTGCGATATATACATATATTATCAATAGCGGAAAATTGTGGACTATATTTTTGAAAAGTCAATTTTTAAACAAACCGAATAACATATACCCCTAATAATCAGTTCTGATAATAAAAATCAGATTGTGCGAGCAACTAATGATCTCTAATTCCCAAGTCGGTTTTGGTATATTACGAACAGCAGTAACATTAACTTCTGCTTGTGTAGTTCCCGATTTTGTGAAACATCATCTGCCTATATAATTTCGTGAGTATATGGATGATGTACACGTACATTCAATTGGCTCATCTCTCTCGCTTCATATCAATAAGTAATGTTCATAGTTCAAAATTTTTAAATAGATAATAACGATAACGATGCAGGAGTGTCAGCGCGGATGTGACAGGCGCGTGTGGCGTGTGGCGGCGTGCAGTGTTGCAGCGTGTGCATCTCATTTACTTGGGATTTAATACTGGAGTGAATATTGTACAAAAAATGAGACCGATAAAAGTTATTTAGTTAAAACATGTTGCCAAGACTGAATTATCTATCTATGTATTATAACATAAAATATTATAACAGAAATAAAATATTATTGATGTAAAAGTTGCGTAATGAATTAAGTTTTGTAAGTGTCTTTACAGATGTGTAAATTATTTTTTTATTAGACATCTTGGTCTTCATACTTATTTTATTAATTCGATTAAATATATTTTTGTTTCATATAATTCCTCAGTCTGCTATTAATGAACACGCTGAGAAAATTAGGAATAAGAAAACCGCGAGTTGGCCCTTGTATCCACAGTCTGCCAACACGATCGAAAGGTACACGCCACTACACGCCGCGGCGTAATCAGCGCCCGCGGTACACTGGTCAAGGTGACCAGCCGTTCGGCCAACGAGATGATCGTTGTTAAGTCAAGTTTAAGCAAATAGTGTAAATGTACATGAGCTGGGAGCCGGCTCGTGCCGCCGGGCGCGGAGCGTTTAGTTCTACAGCACATTCAAAGCTGGACGGACAACTTGCAAATTACCTTTGTTTATCGCGGTTCGATTGAGCTAAGCTAGGGAATAAATGAAAAATTCAATAAAAAACTCTATCAATGAACGATAAAATTAGTGAAGCATAATCTAATTAAGTTATTTAATTAACAATAAAATCCACACGCGTTCGTTATTCTCGTAGGCTTCACAGTTGCCTCGTGACCAAGAAGGCTTGAGAAACCCGCGGGATGTGCGCAGCTACCGCGAAGCGCTTACAGTGGCGCTAGTTAGCGACGTGCCCGGTAGGCTGGTGCCGGGCCCGCGCGGAGGTACTCGGTCAAAAGCGATTTGTTTATGACGAAATCAATTATTTTATTATGTCCAAATATTTAAGAGGACTGGAACAAGACTCAAATAGTCTCTCCATATAGACGACACACTCGTCTCCACTACTTTTGTTGTGATCAATATTAAGTGGAAGCACCTTCAGAGCCAAGAGCAAGTAGTCCATGAGGTCGAGCCTGTTCATCTGCAGCAAGTTGAAGTGTCTCCGGGGATGATGGTCTCGCAGCAGTAGCAGCATAGCACTCAGCAGCAGCGCGAAGCCGGAGCCGCGCCCCACCGCTCCGCCCTGCTCCACCTCCCAGTTATACTCCTGTTCAGAAAGGCAACACGTACACAATATGCCCGAGCGGACATCACTTCCACAACCATATATATGACATACGGTCATGTCGACGGACTCCAATAAGATATTGCTGGGTAAGCTTCATGTATATATAGCAATAAAAGGTTTATCTCAAATTTACCTGTCCAGTTTCTAGGTGTCTCCAGGCTTTCAAGAGGAGCACCAGTAGAGAAGGTTCTAGCAGTACAGCATCAGTCCTGCCCATCAATATGATATTGTCGCCATTCACGCTCATTATGGGACTGCTGCAAGCTTCGTTCAGTATGACCTGGAAGAGTTTTTAGACAAACGTCGACTTTATTCATTACTTTTTTACTTTCGAAATTTGTAGAAACGAGATTGACATTTTTTTAGCGATGAGATAAAATGTTAATGCAACGACTTGTGTCGCAAAAGCAACATAAGAGAAGTTTCACCCTCGGTTGTGCAAGAAGTTTGACTTGTATAATGTGATAAATGACAGAAGTTAGACTACATGTCATACACATGTGATCACTAGAAAACATTTGCACTGAGGCGATTCAAGAAGTATGACTGTTATAATGTGAGAAGCGACAGAAGTTAAGCTTCAAGTCGTAGACGTGTGACGACTACAAAGCACGTGCGGTGCGGCACCTCGAGCAGGTGCGGGCCGACGATGCAGCGCGGCGCCGCCAGCAGCGCCAGCAGCATGTCGAGCCGCAGCGCGCCGTACAGCCGCCCGTCCAGGCGCGCCGCCCGCAGCACCGCGCCCAGCGCCGCGCCCTGCTCCCACGCGGTGCCCCCCAGCTCGATCACCTGCACCGTCACCTTTCAATCTACATTCGTTTTAGGTTTCGGATATGTTACTTCATACTTGGAGTAATGAAAGGATTATAATAATATTAGAGTAATGAGATGCACATTAGTTACTCACTGCGTCTTTTTACATTAAAAGTGTACAATTTCCAAAAATATTCGAAAAGAGTTAATATGCGGAATCATTTGGTATCACCATTATTTTTCTCATAAATACTGTCAAAAGAGTGCTGTTTTTTTTTTAGTGTACCTATATTTTGACTACAATTAACAAAATTAATACGTAATTTTATCTTACTTTAAAAGACAGATAATGTAACTGGTAAAAAATAAAAAATAAATGTTGTAAAGATGATTAATATTAAAAATATGACTTGTTAAGCCTTTAAAACACTCTCCTGTAAAATTAGTAAGTTTTGAGATTATACAGTTTTAATGCGAGTAGACGACTGGTGTGCGCTGCATATTGTTATTAATATACTTAAGCTCAGAGGACGTTTCGTGAACTAACCCTAGCATAGAGATAGAGCAGCAGATCAGGTCCGCCGAGTAAGTAGAGCGCAGGCGCCACGCCCTTGTGTCTGCTGGAGAGCGGGGTTCCGGTCCAAGTGGTGAGCAGCGTCTCCGGGATGGGGGCTCCGGCGGGGCTCGCGTGCGGCGGGGGCGCAGACACGGATGACGTCACGCTCGATGCAGACGCAACTCGACCCGAGAACACTGATCACACGCAACGCAACGATACTTCACAACCGAAGTGCGACAGGGCTCTCTACTTTTGTACTAGTACTTCAATCCTGTCTTCAGTCTGCCGCTCCTTGGAGCGTTCCTTTAAGCTTGTGATATTTGAAACATATCGCACTTGGTGGAGTTTTCATTCACAGTTTTGTGTCAAAGTTAGTGGTGCCCGCGTGCAGTCGGTCGGGTAGTCGCTCAGAGCTGGGTTTACATCGGAGCACGTGACATAGCCTACTGTTGGCGCCACATACCGAGCACTACTAGTAATGCCAGGACTTTAAATGAAGATATTGTCAAGTGTGTGAGCAGTGAGCTCGTACCTGTGGGCAGCGCAGCGTTCTGATGATACAAGTTGATGACGTGCGGCGAGCTCGCCGAGAAGGACAGCAACAAACTGTCGGTGAGTTCCCTCATGTCGGACGGTGACACGTTGAACATCTGCCGCATAACATGTGCTTAGCGAGGGTTCGGGTAACGGAGACATTTACAATGTCGTCACCCACTTTGAGGTATGATTTCTTCGGTTTCAGTTGTAACAATACAACGGCTCCCCCATCCTTCAAACCGAATCGCATTACTGCTTTACGGCAGAAATAGGCGGGGTGGTGGTATTTACCCTGCTCACAAGAGGTCTTACCACCAGTAATTACGCAAATTATAATTATGGTTTGATTTTTATTACAAGTTGTTACTTCTACGATATTTTACTGCGAAATTCAGTCGTGAACATTAGTTAAGAACGTATTTCATTTAAAAAAAATGAACTTTTTTTGCGGGATTCGAACACCGGTGCATCACTAGATACGAATGCACCGGGCGTCTTATCCTTTAGGCCACGACAATTTTGATCTAAGCTTAGATCAAACGATGGTCGATCACGTCAACACCAGCAAATAATTGACGAACTAAGCGCTCACCTGCTCCCAGTCCACGTTCGAGTCCAGCAAGTTCGGCGAGAGGACCGGCGCGAAATTCGGAGCATCACACTGGACCTGTTGGTTAGGGTATGGGAGAGTTATTGAATGTGTGAGGGTGGAGCAGGTTGGGCGGCGCGGGCGGGCGGGCGTACCTGCGCGGCGAGGTCGGGGGGGGCGGCGGCGCGGAGCAGCGCGCGGCGGGCGGACAGCAGCGGGGCGCGGTACACGTGCACGCCGCACACGTCCCACGCGCCGCACGCGCCCGCCCCGCGCGCCCCCCCCGCGTCGCCCAGCACCACGCTCGTCGGGGTGATCTTGCGGACCAGGATGCCTGCAAGCCGACACACCGAAGCTCTGTGATATAAGCCGGCGCGGTTCAAAACACAAAGTAGTATGTAGCGCTTACCCTGAATTGGCAACGATACTGGGTCGCACTCGTAGCCGTCGATGAAAACTGTGACCTGTCAATGAAATTACTCTTTACAACATCAAACGAACTTTATATTGTTTAAAAAGTTTACAGTATCGCTTCTCTAATGTAACTTTAACTCTTTAAAGAATTCTATACTTTAAGTTTAAGATTGTAAGGTAAATTGTGGTATATCACAATATGTAGGAGAATGTTTACCTCAGACGTGCCCGCTGCACACTGCCCACTCTCGGCACAAAGTTGGCGTGTGCGTATCCTATATATATATGAGTTTATATATGTGTATATATTATACGGCTGGTTTTCTGTTAATGAATAGTGCTGAAGTGAATTTTAGAAGTAACGACAGGGAAGACCTTCCACCGAGCGGGTGATATTGTTCCATGGACAGAGAGCCCACGTGCGGTGGAAACTATGCAAGCTTATGTTGAAAATGTCGTTAGCGCGATTCAGGCAATTGTCATTATCTTTTTCCTCTGATAGCTACCGCCAGAAAAACATTGCTTCTTGCTTACACAGCCTTTATACATCTTACAACCTACAAATAATTGAATTAAAAATAAATAAATAAGCATGCCCGTGTTTTAGATATATAGTGTGGGTGACCTGCACGTGCACGCGGCGCTGGCGGAGTGTCTCGGCGACGTTGAGTCCGACGCAGTGCCAGCGGCGCGGCGCCAGCTGCCCCACGCCGCGCGCCTCGCTCAGCACGCGGTTGCAGCCCGGCTCCGGCCGGCACAGCCGCAGCGTGAACGTGCCTGCCGACCGCACCGCCCTTGTGTTACTTGTCAACTGCGACCTATAGTCCGTAGACTCTCCGAAACAGCACCGGAATAGTGTAGGAGTCAAGTGTACTAAATTGAACTGAAGTGTTCATGGTGCTGGTTTTAAAATTCTTCCACTTGCTTTTTTTTTCCTACCTAGCTGAGAGCCTTGAGAGGCCATTTCAGCGTAACCTTAACTAGTAGGTGAATTCACGGGGCTCAAACCTGACGACGTTGCTAACACGAACCCTAGCAAGAGCCGTGCTTCGCATAATCTACCACCGGATCGGAAACGCAACCCACTGAGAAGAACCGGCGAGAAACTCAGTGGGCTGTGTCTGTGGGTTAATTTACTCGTCGAATCCTTCGACGAGAACGATGACCAGTGCCACTTGCTACTATGGCGCCGCATTCATTAGCTCCCTTTCAGGGGACACTTTTTTATTACACTGAAAAATGGTGCTCCTTACTTCGACTCCGTCGTGGGTGAGCATCACGTGTTAGGTGGAGTGGTAATTGTTCGATCGAGTTTAATTATCACAATAAATAGTCAATGGTAAATAAACCCAATAGATGATGCTGTTCTCCTACTGTCTTCATTTATATATTGTTAAATTAATACGTTGAAAGTATATTTCGTTGACGCGAAAAAACCTATTTAATCATTAAGTTAAATTTTACCCATCTGACACCACCGTTGACGCCGAAGTATCCTCGACCCGCGTCAGCACGGCGGCAGAGAAAAGCGCTATAGCGAAAACTTACCGGTTCCAGTGTCCAGCCAAAGCTCGAACATGAGAGAGTCATGTCCGATGGAGACCACATGCGAGAGTTCGGAAGGCTTTGTTGCTTCCTTCGTCGGAGACTTCCTCTTCGGAGACTCCACGTCCGAGGAATCGTCGTGAATGTCATTTATGTCTTCTGTTAAAAGCGTTGACGAACATGTTAGTAAAGTAGTAACCATTATAGCTTAAAATATCAAGGTACAAATTTCAATGTTCGGAACTTGTTTAAAGGGGGGTCCTAAAAATGTTGACCACCTAAATTCGGGAATCAATGTACGAAGTCGGCGTCGGGCCCGTTAGCGTGGCGTCAATTTGTAATGTTAATCACGCTTGCTACACTTTCCGCGTAGTCGAGTAGTGATGGTATTTAACTACATCTTTCATTCATTCTAGATAACATGAGAGCCCACAATATACGAGGCTTATAAAATTAAGCTTACACTTGTATACGAATATAGTATTGTTTTCAGCTTAGTTTAAGGTAATAATAGTACATTATACCTTTTGGTATCGTAGAGCACCCTGTACATGTAAGGCTTTTCCGTATTTATGTTAAACAATCGAGTGAATTTGAAAATAAGCACGACACTAATGTGTAGTAGATACGCACTGGAAGCGTGAGGTCGGTACGTGAGGCCGGACAGCAGCAGCGCGAAGCCGGCCAGCCACGGCGCCCAGCCCGCGCCCTCCACCCCGCACCGCGCCGCCCCGCGCGACCAGCACGACGTCACGCCTGCGCACACCACACTCATCCAACAACCACCACCACCACCGCCACGGTGCCGCGGTGCAGCCGGCAACAGAATTTGTTTTAAATAAACGCGTCACGAACACAGACGATTTCGGTATTCGCTACAATCGTGTAAAAGTGCAATTTTTTAAGTTTGCGGAGTTAGTGGTACCGGGGCAGGCAGCGCACACTCCCACAGACACAGCCCACTGAATTTCTCGCCGGATCCATTCAGTGGGTCACGATTCCGATCCGGTGGTAGATTCTGCGTAGCACTGCTCTTGCTAGGGCTAGTTTTGGCAAATTCTCTCAGATTGAGTCCGTGAGCTCACTTACCCGTCCGGGCGTATCTGAAATAGCTTCTTAGGCTACCAGCGAATAGGTAGGGGGAAAAAAGCAGCCCGCACGTGCGCGTGTCGCGTCCGCCCCTCCGCCCCTCCCTCGAACTACTCGTAAGGCGCTCCCGACCCCGTAGAGTCAGTGTTGCCAGTCGCTCGTCATCCGTCCGTAGTAGTATTTTAGTCTTATTTTTCCTACTTAACTTTTACTAATATTTATTCCTTCACTGTCTCGTATTAAGTCCTTGTTTTCTGGTGGTCTGGGTACCACCAACTACACATTTCTGTCGCGAATCAATTATACGTTTCGGCTTGAGGTGTGAGTCGGCTGTAGTACAAATACAACTAAGATTTCGACCTCATTACTGAAGATGGGCGGCGGACACGTTCTGATCGTCACCCAAAAGCTCCTTCACCCCATCATACGTGAACCTCACGCCAAAAATTGACAGATTGGAGATGGAGCACGTATCGACATGTCATCAGCCTTATAGTTCTTTCGTCAGTAAGATGAAACGTGTTCACGAGTGCTCACGGTTAGTGGACTGTCAACTACGGATTTAGTTTTCAACGGACGACAGTCGGATTTAGTTAGTGTGTTGGCGAAAGCAAATAAGAGTAAGGGTATGGACCGGCTCTGAGGTGCGAGACGTGCAGGCTGTGGGCGCAGCTCTCCGCGAGCTGGCTCTGCGAGGTCGCGTCGTGCAGCACCAGCTGCTTCAGCTCCTGCGTCAGCGACTGCACGCCTTCTGTTAATGTTTATTATTTATTATTTTACTGATGGTAGGACCTCTTGTGAGTCCGAGCGGGTAGGTACCACCGCCCTGCCTATTTCTGCCTTGAAGCAGTAATTCGTTTCGGTTTGAAGGGTATGGCAGCCATTTTAACTATACTGAGATCTTAGAACTTATATCTCAAGGTGGGTGGCGCATTTACGTTGTAGATGTCTATGGGCTCCAGTACCACTTAACACCAGGTGGGCTGTGAAATCGTCCAACCATCTAAGCACAAAAAAAATGTGCACACCCGACGTCATACCCACCCACTCTATTGCGGTGGTCATACGGTATATTTCAATACGCGCAGATGCGTGGCATCCTGGCTATTTCTTCTTCAAAAGGTCCAGCCTTGCGGCATTCACGCTAGTGTCTATGGGATCCAGTACCCGCTAATAAGAAGCATATTCAGTTTCCGTGACGACATCATCAACAGATATGGAATGTAGACGACTAGATGATTAGTTTCCCTTGCTGACTCCATTTTTCTTATTCTCTCATAACAGACACGTTTTTTCAAATTTCATTGTGATTCGTAAACCAAAAATTACGTCCGACTGACCTTTATTGTTCATGTCAATTGGAAAAGTGAGTATGCAATCCGGCGTGTTGCAAGTTGCATTGTAAAATAGTTTCTGCAGCGTTGACAATAAGGGCGTCAACGGGGGCTTCTCTGCTGTGAACAATTTCAAGAAGGCAGCCAGCTCTGGGGCCGATATGCTTTGGGAAGCCAACGCGTAGATTAGCTCCAAGACACTGCGCTGCAATTCTGTAACAACGGGAAGGAAACAATGCTAAAACATGTTTGACATGAAGGAGAAAAGGTATGAATATTATATACCGGTGTAATGTTTTGTTTAAATAAAATAAAAAAATATATTTTTTTATTGCCCGAGCAGGCAGACGAGCATACGGCCCACCTGATGGTAAGTAGTTACCGTGGCTCATGGACGCCAGCAATGCCAGGGGCAGAGCCAAGCCGCTGCCTACCGCTTACTGAGGCGTGTAGTGCTAGACGTGTACCTCGGTAGGGGTGGTGCGTGGTGAGCAGCGCGGCGTGCGCGGGCGCCAGCAGCCGCAGCAGCAGCGGGGGCGCGGGGCGCGGGCGGGGCGCGGCGCCGCACAGTCGCGCGCAGCACGCCCGGCACAGCGCCGCCCCCACGCGCTCCAGCCCCGCGCCCTCCTCCGAGCACTTCGAGCCCATCAACCTGGGGGCCGTCGCAATATAAAGCAGCAGAAGAACCAACATGAGTATGCGCATAATGTAAAACTGGTATCAAGGATTCATATTAATCAATTTAGTTTTGTTGTGCTGTACTTATGGATGTCTTGTTCTTATTAATTAATTGAACAATCAGAAGGTATATTTTTCGGAAAAAAAATGATGGTGAGCACTCATGCTGACTAATACTGACCGCACACTAGACCGGTGGACAAGCTCCTTCTACCTGATGTTAAGTTATTACCAAAAAGACTTATTCACGAAAGAAATACGAAGGCTGCTGCCACAGGAAAGCTACCTGCTAGTAGAGACCCATACCCATGAGTCAAACTCACTCACTGATGTGTACTCACTTATCAATGAGCTGTGTGAGTATGTCGACCACAATGATGCACAGCTCAGGATGCGCCATGTCACCGTTCTTGGTGTACTCGGCGCACTCGAGGGGCGCGGCGTCCGGCGGAGACTGCAGGCCTGCAACAGACAGTGCCGGGTGTCACACCAGAACCGACCACCGACAATGGCTTCCTTGGCGCTTACAAAAGGTAGGTTCATTATATTAGAAGCGACCCGCCCTCGCTTCGATTCGGAAACTGTAATTTATTATTGATTTCTCCACTATTTAATGGATGTTATTATACATATAAACCTTCCTCTTCAATCACTCTATCTATTAAAAAAAACCGCATCGAAATCCGTTGCGTAGTTTTAAAGATTTAAGCATACATAGGGACAGACAGATATAGGGACAGAGAAAGCGACTTTTTTATACTATGTAGGTAAGTAACGCAAGGACTAGCTTTGAACGTATCGAAAACCATTATTAGCTTAACATTTAATAAGTTACAAAAAATCCGCGACAGATATAACATATTTTTACTGCACACAGAAGACTGGCGCTTCAAGTTTGTATTTCTCAACAATAGTGTTTCAATCATATTCGTATGACTTACCAGGGTTCGCTGTGAGAGCCGACATCGTGGGAGAGAGCCTTCGACTCTTGAATGTCTCGATTATATCAAGTTTACCTAACTCTACGTCCGCCTGTCAAAATAAAATTGAACAAAATCAACACTGGGTAGCGAATCGCAGTGTCATCTGAACTGCTTTATCAGTTCCATTCACTTTATAAATTGTAAAAACACAACGAACGGAAACTATGAGAAAAGAACGATCAAAATCTAATGAATTTGCAACATTTTTTTAAGCATCTTAATTTAAAAGTGATACTACACTGCATGAGTCACGTGAGAAACATTTTAATAATTACAAATGTAATAGCTTAAAGTCGAGGTCGTCGCTAGCTACGACGTAATTATCCTAATTTAATAATGTGGGCGGATTTTTTAAGACTTGCTAATGGGAAAACGATGTTGTATATTTGTGAGCACCTGCAGCCGCACGTGTTCTTACCGCACTGGCGATTTCTGCCGAAAAACTATGACCAGATTCAGCTACGGCTTACACTGCGACCCCAAACAACACTTGGAACTACAGCCATTAAAAGGGTAGGAACAAGTGCCCAATAGGTTTTTTTTTATTGCTTAGATGGGCGGACGAGCTCACAGCCAACCTGGTGTTAAGTGATTACTGGAGCCCATAGACATCTATAACATAAATGCGGCACCCAACTTGAGATATAAGTTCTAAGGTCTCAAGTATAGTTACAACGGCTGCCCCGCCCTTCAAACCGAAACGCATTACTGCTTCACGGCAGAAATAGGCAGGGTGGTCGTACCCACCCGCGCGGACTCAGAAGAGGTCCTACCACCAGTAGCCCTGTTTATTCGGAATGACGGATTGTATTTATGTAGTGTAGACTGACCTCGTATCCGTCATCAGGCCGGGCAGGGTTGGGATCGCTGTGCTCGCTAGCGTACGGGCCACACGTGCTCTCGTCGCTGGACGAACACTCCGGCGTGCTGCTGCCGGACTCGCACGCCAGGGGTGGAACCTGATAATAACATATTGTCGAGGGGGAGCTCACGAGACTCAGCCTCCAAGAGTTTACTAACATCTGTCCTAGCAAGAGCAGTGCTTCGCTTAATGAACCACCGGCGTGGAATTGCGACCCACTGAGATCCATCCACCCACTGTTATCCTTCGTAGCTGTAGTCGTTAGTGAATACAAAATGTTAAGAGACATAGTCAGTTCAAATACAGTTACGCACTTGTTCAAGATCTATAGAACAGTTAGAAGATCGTGAAGGCTTCTCTAGGAAAAAGACAGAACATATAGCCAATCTTGATTTCTAAGTACTAAATCTATTTTATTTTTGTCTATTTAATCTTCGTCAGATTGTGTGAAACTTCATACAATTGCTCATGACAATCCGGAGAGGGTTTATGTCATAGTACCAACAAAATACGACAAGTTGTGCTGACGTGATGGTGAACAGTATTTTTAATGAATATCTTGTTTTTTTTTTATAATAAGGGCTCCGTGCTCTTACACTTATCTCCATAGAGTAGCCAACCCAGTTACAGTTCAACGTTTCTCGCCGATCTTCTCAGCGAGTCGCGATTCCGATTCCCTTGCTACGGCTAATGTTGGTAAATTTTCTAAGGTTGAGCCCGCGAGCTCACCTATACATCCAGTGAAGCTAGGATAACCTCTCGACGTTATCCTAACGTAGGTACAATATCCTCGCACAAATATTCTCGTTAATCGAACAGTCTATTTCGAGTCTTGAAGCTTTTTTTTTTATTGCCCTTGTAGGCAGACGAGCATACGGCCCACCTGATGGTGAGTGGTTACCGTCGCCCATGGACTTCAGCAGTGCCAGAGGCAGAGCCAAGCCGTTGCCTACCTATTCTAAATTTAGCATAACTATATATAGTTCAATGTTTTTATTTAACACAGATCCGCGTTCAGTTTTGCATAATAATATTATGCATTAACATTAAACCGTTTCCTGATATTTAAATGTTGGTTTCTAATGTAACTTTATTACTCGTTCGTACATTTTTGTTCAAACGAAGACCGACGGTCTAATCTTATTAACTACTACTAATTATCGGGCGTCCGCGACTCTAAGATATGATTAAAAGTCCACGTTCCGCTTAATTATGAATAATATATGGCGAGTTTAGTAAAACGCAAGATAAAGCCGCGTGGATATTTTCAGTATCTCCTTCCGCGGTTGATCAGTAGACGCAAGGCCCCAGTTTCCTTAACCTAGTCAACTTCGGAATTGACAATCTCGTCGTATTGTTTTCTACCTAACTTCAACTCCTCTACGTAATTTTTAACATGAATGCTGACGATGGTCCGACATGTCATGATCCCCACCGACTAGGAGCATCGTCTTAATAATAGAGGAGAATGCGGCTTTTTTTTGTTTTTCGGGCCGGGGGCCGAATCTCCTACGAGGTCCCCGCGCATAGCTGCCTCAGCCTGTGCGGGCTCGCGTTGTTCCCGATGCCAGGTCTTCATTCGTCGTGAAAATAAGCAATTTATACGTGTTTGGCATATACATACTGAGAAAAATTGATACCTATCTCCGGGATTTGCCGATCGGCAATGTCGCAGCCCTCGATACAAGTACACTGTTTTTACTGGTGGTAGGACGTCTTGTGAGCCCGCTAGGATCGGTACCACCACCCTGCCCATTTTTGCCGTGAAGTAGTAATGCATTTCGGTTTGAAGGGTGGGGAAGCCGTTGTAACTATTCTTTGAAACCTTAGAACTTATATTTCAAGATGGGTGGCGCATTTACGTTATAGATGTCTATGGGCTCCAGTAACCACTTATACCAGGTAGGCTGTGAGCTCGTCCATCCCTCTGAGCAATAAAAAAAAAAAAAACTGAGCGAGATATTCATTAGACTAGGACAATTATAAAATGATCGTAACGTTTAGCATTGGCAGCGGAGAGGCAGCGAAGTGCACTGCATAACGACTGGCCGCCTATCAAACAGTAACGCACGATTGCTTTGCAACAGAAAGGGGCAAGATGGTGGTACTGTGTGCTCCGGTAACCTCTTAACACCAAAGGGGTGTGAACTGTCCTTAATTATGTAAAGCAATCATTTCATAGGTAAAATATTTGAATAATATACCTGTTTGATTTCAAAAAATGAAGAGAGTACCTAATTAATTCGTCTCTAGATTTTAAATTCACACGAATAAACCTGTATTATTGTAATATAACGCGAACAAAGAAATAAGACAAGCGCGACGTGACTACCTGCTGCAAATGGATCGGAAAAAATTGCATAATCAGATTTATTTTGATCTACATATTTTGAGGGCATATTTTGAGGGCACCCTTGCATTCCCTTCTACAATTTTTACTGTTTAAAGGTAAGTTTATTGATACACTAATTGCTGTAATGCATACGTTTGAAAATAGGTCAGTGGAGGCCCAATTTTAATTTATTATTTTTATTGCTTAGATGGGTGGACGAGCTCACAGCCCACCTGGTGTTAAGTGGTTACTGGAGCCCATAGACATCTACAACGTAAATGCCAACATCCACCTTGAGATATAAGTTCTAAGATCTCAGTATATGTAGTTACAACGGCTGCCCAACCCTTCAAACCGAAACGCATTACTGCTTCACGGCAGAAATAAGCAGAAGATGTTATGAAACATCTACATAAACTCAGGTTATACACACATATATATATTTTGATTCTCCAATTTATTACACATTTATCAATATCATTAAACTGAAAACGACTTTATACTGAAGATGAGGATAAAAATACTTTTACGCTGCTGTCAATGATCTACAATATTATAATTATTTGAAAATAGCGAAGATTCAAAATTCGAGAGTTCACATATTAAAACGCAAAGCCGTAAATTTTATTTATTCTAAAAATTGTTAATTTTATATAGCAATAGATTAAGTTAGCGCTTTTAGTCATTTTCTATCAATAGAAGACTTAAAAACACTGAACAGATAAATCTTTAAAACTACATAATCAGTATTAAAATAATATGATTAAGAATACAAAACATTGGAACTAAAGTAAAGTCACTATGTACATGCTCACCTCAAACGTCATGTAGCGTGATGAGACGCTAGCACAGCAGCCGGCCTTAGCTTCAAGGCAAAAACTAAATTTTCACTTTCACTATATTTTAATTTTGAAGAAATAAACAAAAACAGCCCTTATTACATAAAGTTTAGAAGTTAATTTCTTTCGTTACATACAAGCTTAGCTAAATAGTTGTTATTAAACAACGACACGACCGCGGGGCGCCGCGAGTTCCGTTTTCTGAGACAGTCGGCTGGTTCTTTGGTAAGAATGAATCTATAACTAGCAATAAGGTTCCGTCTAGTTCATGGATCCTAATTGATATTTTTTGTATAGGATTGAAAATCATTTAGAAAACTTCGATTTTAAGCCCTAACTATTGCAAAACCCGCCTGTACACACACGTTAACCATGTGAGCTCACACTGTCACACTTCTTATCTAGTAATCAGTCTTCTAGTCTAGCATTTTCTTATCTAGTCTAGTATTTTCTTATTTCTTATCTAGTTCTTCTAGTCTAGTATTTTATTGCATTCTTAACGATGTGTTTTATAAGTGGTTGATAAATAAAAATTCGCAACTACAAATATTGAACTAACGCAGAACTCTAATTAGCCAAATCCATTACAGAGGCGTCTACTAACGGAACGAAGCCAAAAAACCGGTCCTCCTAGATCGACCATACGTCAGCGAACAAGCCGAACCCAAAAACTACGTTTATTTACATAAGTCGATTTAGAAACACTTTTTTATTGATTCTAAATCCCACACATTACCCAAATTAAAAGTATGTGGTTTAATTTTTGCAAAAGTTACAATTAACATGGTTGTAGTAAAGTGTTTTAGAGTATCGATAGTTGTGTTGTTATTGTTAGATGAAGGCCGAATCGCCAGCCTACTAAAGTGATAATAAGGAAATTAGAGTTGTAGTGGTCGCTGTTGTCGTAGGTAAGGTATTCACTGAAACATAGAGGTTAGTTCTCATCGATGACGTATGAACACGCGCCGTGTTACCCCGGAGATAAATAAAATGCTGTTTTGGTATCGAGACAAAGAAAGCGACTGTTTCCTGATATGATGTCTATACACTTTTGATGTACGAATACTTGGTACAAAAATAGACTGGCGAAGCAGGTGCGATGGCGGCTCGGATTTAAAAAAATAGCTCTTTGAAGATCCCACAAAACGTTCAATTGCTGCTCATAAATTTAATATTTCAGTCAAGCAATGTTTGGACTATAAGAAATATTATAAAATTAAATATATCCACTAAGTTAAGGCACTTCGTGGGAATGAAGCGCTGGCTCTCAACTTTTGCTCTTTGCTTATAATATTGTTGTAGTTTCCTAAGGTTACTTTACTATACGACCCTCAGAACGGTGTACAACATTTGTGTTCAAATGTGTAAATATCGGTCTTACCCTAATGTAATTTTATTATATTCTAAGGTCGTTTTTTACTTGGATTGTACTTGTTTTTACGAGTTACTTTTTATTCATTTAAATGGTGTCCTTTAACTTCAACCGTGATAATACTGTCGTAAATTGTATAACAGACGGCAAACCAAAGTGGTGTATTCAAAGTCATGCCTTAAACTAATGAATGTCTATTAATATAAAACCGTGTCAAACATTCACATCAAGCATGGTACTTACATAATTTATATAAGCAATAACATTTTAGTGTTGCGCAACTTTTATATCGGACCCATCATGATACAAGAATTCAAATTGAACGACACGTTCAGTGTGCCTTAGTAATAAGAGCTTTAGTTTATTCCGAGGTTTGCGGGAGTCGTAAACGCGATCAAAACACTTTTCCGGTATCAGTTCGCATTCATTTTAATAATATTTACACGATGACGCGGTCACGATGACTTTTATAAAACTATAGTACCTACTATAATACTAGGAACTACGCAAAAACGGAAATCACAAGATTGGATCGACTTTTTTATACCATATTAACGATATCGCAGGAATATTTTCACGTACGGTAGCGGATTAAATAGTGGGTCGCGATTCGTGCGGGTTCGGTTCGTCTAAGTAGAACTCACCCAAATGGAATGTGAACTATTTGATTTATTTATTTATGTACACACAAAAGAGAAGACATAGTACAGAGTAATAGGAAAATTATGTACAAAGGCACTGCTTATTTCTTTAAGAAATCTCTTCCAGCAGACCTGCGAGAGCATTATGAGAATAATAATTAAAAGTGATGAGTGTGTGTAGAACAGCTAAAATAACAAATACAACATGAGAATTATAGTAATGCACATACACATAGCAACTATTGTTAAACTTGAATACAAAATATTATAAGTAACACAGTATATACGAAGCGTATAGAACAATGATCATTCGGTTGATGAGAGATAGAATTGTTTGACCTTGTATTTAAAAACAGAAACAGACTTGCAAACTTGGATGTCAGCCGGCAACGAATGACGATGATATAATTGATGATATCGACTACATTATAATAAATACATAAATGTGTTCGGAACGGGTCCCGTCCCCAGGTTAGAGCCCCCTGAGCTTATTTACTCGTTCGGTGAATCTAGAATGACCCCTCGAGGTCACTAGCCTAAGTAGGAAAAAAAAAACCTGTCTCGACACAGTAGGTACTACACGTTTTCTATCAACAACATGGGGGTATTTTAATAATCAGTTGGGTTTGGTTTATTCAAAAGAAGCTAGAAACCTGCACATTGTTTTTTTTTTTTTATTGCTTAGATGGATGGACGAGCTCACAGCCCACCTGGTGTTAAGTGGTTACTGGAGCCCATAGACATCTACAACGTAAATGCGCCACCCACCTCGAGATATAAGTTCTAAGGTCTCAGTATAGTTACAACGGCTACCCTACCCTTCGAACCGAAACGCATTACTGCTTCACGGCGGAAATAAGCGGGGTGGTGGTACCTACCCGCGCGGACCCACAAGAGGTCCTACCACCAGTAATCTTACGCTAATCTGGACACACGTTTACACAATACCTCAGTCTTAAAAAAAAAGGTCGAATGTAGGTAGCAAGTGTATGTTGTAACTGGGTCCACGTGTACCGCGAAATATTTTATATCATAATATTATAATTTTCCATCGCGAAACCTGTCTCGACGCATATCGTCTAATCTTCCGCTCTTACGTTTGGTGTCGCGTGGTCACGTGCTTGATGCATTTCGCAAAGGAAGACGTTCTCTCTCTATCTCTCTCTCTCTCTCCCACGCACACAAACGGCTCTGCCCTTGGACGTCATTTGGTTGTGTTCTTTGTTTTTGTCGTTGACCTCTATTGACTAAAAAGGGGCGGTAATTTTATATTCCATCCTTTATTGGATCAGATGGATCAGTTGATACCTTAGAACTTATATCTCAAGATGAGTGGCGCATTTACGTTGTGGCTGTCTACGGGCTCCAGTAACCACTTAACACCAGGTGGGCTGTGAGCTCGTCCACCCATCTAAGCAATAAAAGTAGATCTACTAACTTACGTACGTCGAAGTTCGATAAGTTCTTACTTTAGCATGAGCAAGTTTTGGCATGACGTGATGCATGCTAGGTTCAGCCGTAGCCACGCGGATGAGGGCCTCACCGAGCGCCCGCAGGCCTCCGCCCCCCTCCAGCACGGCTGCAGGAGGAACCAGCACGCTGCGAACGATGCTACAACTGAGTTCTTTGGATTTCCCTGCGGTCACATCTGCATTAGAAAAAAAATCGCTCTTAAATTAAATATTTAGGTGTTTTTCTGACGAAATCACTCAACTCTCGAAAAACTTACGATATATACGAATACAAATTGCATTCCTTGGAATTTAGTTCACATATATAAAATATTTTATTAAAAGCTACATATTAATATGCTAATTCACTTCGGTTTGCGAATGTTTGCTATCTTCATGAAATATTGCAATACCGCTCGACATAAAATTTTATAACAAGAAAATATGGATAATAGAATGTAATAATTTTATCATCAAATAAAACATAAACTTAGTAATGTTGTTTCTGACTGTGTATCACAACAAAGTACAAAATTTTAATTGATTCTCGTATAATCACTGAGACACTGAAAGGGTTACACAAATTTATTTATTTATTTATTTAATAAACAATGTTTCAACAGCATTTAACTACACACAGGGTACAGAGGATGTTTTCCCAAACATGAGCCAATTAAAGAAACACATTATGTTTCCAGAAAATTTTAACATAATTAATGAACACAGATAGTTCAACTAAGGTAAGACAGTTAAATAGGTAGATTAACTTTGTCGAATGATAACTTGCAGAATAAGTTTGAATCTGATTGTGTTGTGTCGATGTGTGTAAGTGCGTGTGAGTGTATAAAGTGGTTGGTTTATGTTAACATATTTCTGTACCTACTCGTAATTTCATATAATCGTTCTTAATATTGATCGATTTGCATTGTTCCGTACTCAATAACCCCGTATAATGTATCGGTGTTTGGCTTATCAGCATGTGGTTTCGCGGGATAACCTAAATACCTAAGCTGTTGTACCGTTCGTAATTAAATCATGCGTGATACAGTACTATACCGCAGAAGGGTGCAATAGGGTTGCCACAGAATAATTTAGACAGCTAGGTCACGCGGTTAGGTTTAGGTTTGAACTAGAACGTTTACTAGATTGTTAGGGTCACAGTACGCAGTAGCTGTGCGTGTGTCTCGAGATTCATAATATAACTAGTCAGGTCATAAGTATTGTCACACAGCAAAAACTTTTCTTTTAGAATGCTGGCCACAAAAAAGTTTATTGAATTCGAATTTCGAATTGTTCATGAAAATAAAAATGTATACTTTTAGAATTTTACTCATTTTTAAATATGGAGTGGACGCTTAAAGAAGACCGTGTTGCAGTTATTGCGTTGCATCGTTGCGGTTACGCGCCAATTCAAATTTTTAACATACTGAAAAATTTGAATATAACCAAAAGATTCGTTTATCGTACCATCAAACGATACAATGAAGACTCTAGTGTAGATGACAGGTCAAGAAGTGGTCGCCCTCGGTCTGTTAGGACTCCAGCAGTGATAAAAGCTGTGAAGGCGCGAATTCAAAGAAATCCCAAACGTAAGCAGAAACTGTTGGCCCTTCAGATGGGGTTAAGCAGAACCACGGTGAAAAGGGTGTTAAATGAAGACTTAGGGCTTCGGGCATATCGAAGAAAAACAGGACATCGTTTGAATGCTCGTCTAATGGACCTGAGACTGAAGAGATGCCGCGCTTTGTTGAAGCGGTACGCGGGAAAAAAATATCGGGAAATTCTTTTTTCGGATGAAAAAATTTTTACCGTAGAAGAGAGCTACAACAAACAAAATGATAAGGTGTACGCACACAGTAGTGAAGAAGCGAGCAACCGTATTCCGCGTGTCCAACGAGGTCATTTTCCATCCTCGCTCATGGTATGGTTGGGAGTTTCTTATTGGGGCTTAACAGAGGTACATTTTTGTGAGAAAGGTGTAAAAACGAATGCAGTTGTGTATCAAAATACAGTCCTGACGAACCTTGTGGAACCTGTTTCTCATACCATGTTCAATAACAGGCACTGGGTATTCCAACAAGATTCGGCGCCAGCTCATAGAGCGAAGAGCACACAAGACTGGCTGGCGGCGCGTGAAATCGACTTCATCCGGCACGAAGACTGGCCCTCCTCCAGTCCAGATTTGAATCCGTTAGATTACAAGATATGGCAACACTTGGAGGAAAAGGCGTGCTCAAAGCCTCATCCCAATTTGGAGTCACTCAAGACATCCTTGATTAAGGCAGCCGCCGATATTGACATGGACCTCGTTCGTGCTGCGATAGACGACTGGCCGCGCAGATTGAAGGCCTGTATTCAAAATCACGGAGGTCATTTTGAATAAACTTTAGTGTCATAAGAATCTATGTTTTGTTAAGTTCATTTTGATATATGAATGGTTACATAATGAATAAACTTGTTTCAATTATTTTACATTAAACATGTGACAGAATTTATGACCTGACTAAGTATATTATATGCATATATGTATTCATTTATTATGTAAAATTATCAATAAATATATGATATTGTAGTCGTTATCCATTCATTTTTGTTGTTGTTATGTACTGTGATTATATAATAATATAATCAAGGGTTGAATCCTTAATAGTGAGAAATCGAGAAACACGCCTTTAAAGAAAATACAAAAAAAAAAATTGAAAATAAATTTATTGAAAAAAAAAAGCGTGGAGTGCTCATTTGTTAGTTGAAGTAGCATTGTGTATCATAAATTATTATTTAATGTACATTCAGGCAAATACAACAGTTTCCAATTTGCGGAGTGCAAAAAGAAGGCACTCAAATGAATTTGTTGTTTCGAGTGCCGAAATAAATAACGGGTCTGTTTTGAAATATTAAATTGTCGTCGGTCTTTGATAAGTATGCCAAATTTCGAGTTAATCTGACGTTTTGAAGGGGGTCAAAATCATGTTTAAAAGATTCCATCTCATACTAACATACGTATAAAGCTAATAAAAGCGCATTAAAACGAGAAAAGCACATCCACCAGGAATTACTAAAACACATAGTTACGTACTCATTTGGAGAAACCTGTTTGGTGCGTGACGTTAATTCTGGTGCTAATGGGCTGTAATTGATAATCTCATTATATTACAGCTAGACATTTTAATTAGAACTAATCAGATTTGCGACAACCCTGAATCGAACAAGTCCGTGAATCGCCGCCTATACGGTTTCTGATCTTGTACTTGAAATCTCAAGTTTCTTATGACTCATTACTGATGCGGACACGTGCTCGGGCTGAGTCCAACGTGAGTTCGATCTGCTATTCCAATACGAGGGCAGCACGCACACATTTACCAAGCTATATAACTAACTATTTTGATGTGTTTCTATACAATTTCTAATTTATTCACTACGGAATATATTAAGCATTTATTATATATTTCGGAATGCAAAAGTAACTAAAAACTATGCGAGAGCCGCAATCCATTTTAGGGCACGATGTCGAAGGTCTATTTCTGCCGTGAAGCAGTAATGCGTTTCGGTTTGAAGGGCGGGGCAGCCGTTGTAACTATACTTGAGACCTTAGAACTTATATCTCAAGGTGGGTGGCGCATTTACGTCGCAGATGTCTATGGGCTTCAGTGATCACTTAACACCAAGTTGGCTGTGAGCTCGTCCACCCCTCTAGGCAATAAAAAAAAGATCTCAGTTGTCTGTCGAGGCAGTCCTCCGACGAGGGCACGTGAAGGCCGCAACTGTAGGAACTTGTGGATATTACTTTTATTACATCCCGGATAATATGAAAAGAATTCAGCCTCGCGTGACGCACCACTCAATACCAGCACACTCGGGGTTTTGCTGTTAGTCCGCGACCACTAGTGGCTGTGCGCTAAATGATGTTATGGAATTTATACTGACTGACTACATTCAAACTATTCATAATTACTACGATTATTGAACGAGCGCACTCACCCGAGACAGCAAACTGCACAGTCAGTACAGCCTCCATGATCTTGATCAACGTCCTCATCTCAGTGACAGCGTAGTCCCTGTTGCAGAGTTGATGCAGCAGCACCTTCAGTAGCCCGTAGCTGTCCAGGAACACCGGCTCGCTGACCACGTACTCCCGGAACATTGGACTGTACAAGCACAAGCTGGCGCACGTCTTCCAGAATGTCACCGCGTTCTTGAGGACATCGTCGTCTGGCATCTGGCTCGGGCCGTCCTTGTAGTCGCTCAGAGTAGTTCTGGGGCACGGCGACCTCCGGCTCGGCACCACGCGGAGCGCCTCTCTCTCGTCACTGACGTCGCATAGCTCCTCAAACTTACCAACCGGAATGTTTGGTTTGTACACATTAAAACACTTCTCCGTTATCTCCGCTAAGGACTTGAACAACATCTGAACCGAGGACAAAGTACTCATCTCTCGAAAGTAAGTCGACCCGCAATCGTCTCTCATTAGTTTGAAGATTTCCACGATGATCGTGATCTCGAGTATGGCGCAACACTGGCGCGCGAACTGGGGTAGCGACACCAGCTCCAGCACATAGCTCAGCCCCCCCTTCTGGATGAACTGCTCCGCGAACGACACGGTGTTCAACAGGCTCGCGAATATGTTCAAACACGAGAGGGTGAGGAAATGCGCGGCCTCCTCGAGCCGCATGATGTATCTGTGCTTGGACACGATGAAGGTTGGGTAGATGACGCTGAAGAGCAGCTCGGCCTTCATCTCGGGGCGGCAGCGCGGCGTGACGCGCAGCAAGTGGCCCACGGTCGCGTGCAGCACGCTGTTGTGGTTGTCCAGCTGCAGCAGCGAGTTGTAGTGTATCAGAAACGACCACACGCTCTTCCGCTCGACGGTCGCCGTCAGTGGGCAGTACTTGTTGTTTGGGTCCCTTCTCTCGCCCTTCGGCTCACATATGGAACACGGGAGCTGATCGGTGATCTTGGGGTACAAGATGCTGGCTCCCAAGTCTCCGTACACAGTGTGCTCGAGGAGTTGCAGGCACAGTGTAGCGACGCCGTTGTGGGTCAGCATCAGCCGAACTATGCTCTCCATGAGGAACCCTGGCGAAAAGCAGCAGCACACTCCGGAGTTCAACATGACTCGTAATATTTTGTTCCGTAACGAAGATTTAGCTGTGATTTCTTCGTCCGTCAGCAGAGACGTGAGCGTGCCGTACAGCACCGAGACGCAGCAGGCCGAGGACAGGGGCAGGTCGCTGCCGGCGTCCCCCAGGATGTCGTGGTGGTGGTGCATGCCGGCCGCCACGCGCTGCCGACACGCCTTGTGCCGCGCCCTCGAACAGGCACCAGAGTGCAGCACTTCACTCCTCACCCTCTTCATACCGCTAATGAGCTTCCCGATAGATTCTATTAACTTCTTTACCAATATTATAGTTTCCCCCTCTTCCGTCTCAGGTATCCTAATGATCAGCTCCATGCATTCCTTCAACAGTCCCCCTTTGAGGCACTCTCCGTACAGCTTGAACTGTTCCGTGAACTCCCTGAGCTTGCTGGCAGACCGGCACTGCATCAGCAGACAGTGGAAGAACGCAGTAACAGAGTAAGCTATGCCGAACACGAACTTCAATAAATTATCTGATTCAGTCTTATCGATATCTTTGGCACGGTTCTTGTTGCATTTAGAAATGACGTCTTCTAAGATTCGCAGCAGCATCGGCATGGTTCCGTTGTTGATCAATTTGGTGCAGAGGTCGGCGTGCACGAGCACCTTGTCCAGGGACACGATGAGCAGCTCGGTGAGCGCGAGCTTGGTGTGCGCGAGGCGGGTGTCGTTGGGGCGCGCGTGCACGGGCGGCGAGCTGAACTGCAGCGAGCACATGTTCCGCAGCGAGAAGCTGATGCACTGCACCGATATCTGCGAGCCCTCGGCCCCGGACAGGCTGCTCTCGGCCTTGCACAGCTCCTGCAGCAGGTCTATAATGGTCAACGTGAACTCGAACGTCGTCATTTCCGAGTTGATAATTTCCTTGTGTTTCTCGTTGATGTAGTCGTCCGCCTTGGGCTTGGCTTTCCGCGGCGAGTGGTAAGGGTCGCTGAAGAAGGACTCGCCGTAGTCATTGGAAGACCTCACGGTAGAGTTGAAGTACCCGAAGTCATCACTCGGGCCGCAGACTTTGATGGCTAGAGAGCGATTAAGGACCTGCAGGTCCTCGTTGTCTGGAGATTCAGAGGAGATTTCTGAACTCTTAGCTGCCTTACGTTTTCTCTCTAATGAATCGAATTTAGCTTGATGCGTATGTCTAGACCTGCGCGAAAAAACATATTCATAGTATAAAAGATGTTAGCTTTTTAATTTACGTAGACCGGGTATGATCTACCGGAATTGGCTAGATTGGTTCAAAGTCACTAGGTTCATCCATCACACTGTTTTTTTTTTATCTTTACTTTGCGATTTAAATGTTGCTTTTTTTGCAAAAAATAATGACATACCAATTTAGTTTTTACATAATTTGTTTTAATAATTATTTATAATATGTACTTGATCTTCAGTGAATTTTATGTATATTTATTTTGTTAAATATTTATGAGAAATTGGTGAAAAACATTTTTTTTTTTTAATTAGTTAGTATTTTGTATCAATTAAAAAAAAATAGAGATGGAAGTATACAGCCAGCGTGAGATAGCCATAATCAGCTTATTACAAAATAGCGCTTTGTAACTAGATAATGTTCACAACATCATCATTATTTAAATTTAGTAATTAGGTTTAGATAACAAGTATAATGTTCACTGTATTCAATAACAGATTTTTTTATAAATTCTTGCTTTTTATTGTTTAGTGGACGAGCACACGGCCCACCTGGTGTTAAGTGGTTACCGGAGCCCATATATATCTACAACATAAATGCCTATAAATACCTATCTTGAGACATGAGTTGTAAAGTAGTATATAAGCATAACACAATAAAGTAGTCTCTTTAATTAACCATCCTCTATCTTGAACGATAGCTCTGACGTTTCTTTTTAACAAGCGTGTTACTCTACTCCGTTTCATAACTTGACATTAAAGTAATTTGGTCATGGGGGTCTGAGGTATCAGTTCGTTTTGAAAAACGGGTCTTTCACCCAAAATACTGGTAGAGGGACCTCTTGTGAGTCCGTGCGGATAGGTACCACCACCCTGCCTATTTCTGCCGAGAAGCAGTAAGGCATTTCGGCTTGAAGGGTGGTGCAGCCGTTGTAACTATACTGGGATCTTAAAACTTGTATCTCAAGGTGGGTGGCGCATTTACGTTGTAAATGTCTATGGGCTCCAGTAATCACTTAACACCAGGTGGGCTGTGAGCTAGTCCATCCATCTAAGCAATTAAAAAAAATTTGGGAATCCCTCCTGGTCTACCTGGACGCAGTTATAGTGGGCACCTGTTATAAAACTGTAATAGATGTGGGAATAAATAAATAAATAAATACATAAATAAAAACCACAAGTGTTCTTGACATCAGAGCACAGGGTCATTTAGATCTGTCTGTCTGTTCGTTTGACTATTACGAACACCAACTGATTTTTTTGTTATAGCGCTTATAGGCAGACGAGCATACATCCCACCTGATGGTGAGTGGTAACCGTCGCCCCTGGACGTCAGCAATGCCAGGGGCAGAGCCAAGCCGCTGTCTACCGTTAAACCGTTTAGTCTCGAGCGGCGAGAGCCGAGGGCGTCACATCTCTTCCATTAGTCGACACTCGACACTCAAAATTACAGATCGACAATATTGTTTTCTAATGGTAAATGAATTACCTAACTACGAAGGAACCTTTCTCAGACGACGCGGCTGAATTCGTCTTGGAGTTCGGAGATCCGGTCGACTTCTGTTTCGACCATATTCTGTAACGAAACTTCAAATGTACTAACGAATAGTCTTCTCTCTTCTACACTACTTAGTATGAGAGAGATGGAAACTGAAGAGGTTCAAAACGTTTTTATGGGCAAACGAGACGGAGCAAAGAGGGCTGGTAGCTGAGCAGTAAAGTGCTTATTTAATACTCATCATCATCAGTCTACCCACTGCTGGACATCGGCCTCTCCAATAGTACGCGACTAAGCACGATCCTCGCTTGTCTCATTGAACTCTTCATTAAATACAAATGACTGGTGCGTACTTGTCGGAGAAGAGCTGATGTATGGGTGTCCGCGCGGCGGGCGGGGGGGGCGGCGCGCGGGTGCCGGGGGCTCCGTCGGCGCCACTCAGCTCTCCGTACAACCAGATCAGGACCGAACTCAGCTGTCGGCAGCAGGACAGACCCTGGGAACAGAAGGTCAACATTTTTATCGTTTTTATGCGTACACACATTTTCAACAAGATCTAATAAAATATACGATTACTAATACATACTAATAATATATAAATCTACAGAGATTTTTACGGATGTTCCGTTATAACTACTGAACCATGCATCCGATTGACCTGAAACTTGGTATCCATGTAGAAATAATGGATAGGCTAATTAATATTTATATGAGTGTCGGACTCCCTAATAATAATGACAATAAATAATAATGTTAATTTTAAATGCCCAGCGAAGCGAGCGAGTACGGCTAGTTATTCATAGATAAAAAAAAACTGTTAGAAAACGTTGTGTAAAATATTTCAGAGCACTAACTGAGAATGAACCGTTTAATTAAAACTACAAGGCTTAATCTCGTTTGATGACGAAGTCGTCGTGGCCTAAAAGAGAAGACGGCCGGCCCGTGTACGCACTCGTATTATAATAGAGCGATGCGACCATGCTGATATTTCCACAGGCACGTATCATTTTTCTACTGAAATATGTAGTATACTTAGAACGTGTTCGTGAATGACTTCAACGATCAAGAAATAGAATAATCAACCAAAAACCAAACCCGCAAAACTAATAAATTTGCGGGATCACTAGTAGAGCGTATTGTAAGCCCACATAGATAGATACCAACTGGTCCTGCACCATGCATGTGTCTGGCACGCAATGGTTTGAAGGGTCAAGCCTTCATACGATCGGATTGAGAGCGTCACGACATTCACACGATGTCAGCGGTAACCACTTTACACCCGATGGGTCGCAGTTCGATCGCCTAACAAAAAACAAATCATCATCATCATCAACCCACAGATGACACCAGACTTCCTCAAGATCGGCCCGACGCAGTCTTTCCCAGACTATTAGCAAGTCGAAGTATTATAACAGCATACTGCGATCGCCAATCCGCATGCCAATCGTGCCGATTATGGGAACCCCCTAACATGGCCCAAAAAAAATACAAATACAATTCAGTAATGTTTTGTAATTGTTTATGGCTTATGAGAAAAGTCGTTCACATTACATTATGGCATATCCTGTCTGGCTTTGAACCTGCGATTTAAATCACGGAGCTTGGTATGGCCCAGAGCGCTGCGAGCATGTGTTCGGTAGCCGTATCAAATAGCGCGTGTGCGGTCGGGCGTGGTGCGCGACTGCTGATAATGTCGACGGAACCAGAATAACAACAATCTGATATCGATGTAACCTTTGACTTTGGGTAAATTAGGGTGACCAGTGATTTGTAACGCAGCCGGCTCTCCAAGGAACTACTGAACGACATGGACCTTGACGAGTCGCCGGTCAACTGCGGACCTTGCTATTTTCGTACAGTTATTATAGTTTATACGTCACATACATGTGTCGAATACTTGGGGCTATTTATATGATTCAAAAGCAAATATAGCGGAGAAAGATTGCGAAGATCCGTGACAGTTTTAGTCCAAATTTTTCTATAAAGATGAAGGGCTGATTTTGTATATTTTTTATAGATTTATAGAATGAGTTATTATTATTAACCTCAACTCCAAGGGCCTTTAGTAGCACCAGACACTTCCATGCAACTCCTCCGAGCAGGTACTTCCTGAGGATGTCCTGCGAAGACTGAGCGTTGTTCCTCGTGAATAGACTCAATGGCTTAGCCTCTGACTTTGGTAACGGTTCTGGTGACAAAAACAAATGGAATCAGAATCTTTACTATTCCTTTTTAAACGTCACGATGGTCAGAAATCTGTTCCCAATACAGAATTGTTTAAAAGCTATTTTAATTTGATGCTTCACTGATATAGGCGAAGATTCTTCTACGACGTAAATGCGCCGCCCACCTTGAGATATAAGTTCTAAGGTCTCAAGTATAGTTACAACGGCTGCCCCACCCTTCAAACCGAAACGCATTACTGCTTCACGGCAGAAATAGGCAGGGTGGTGGTACCTACCCGTGCGGACTCACAAGAGGTCCTACCACACTACTAATATACGTATTAGATAAGGAAGTAGGAACTCTATTCGAGACAGCAGGTAGCGGATATGCGTGAGAGTAATACCTATATCATGAAGCGGTGGGGAGAGGGCCCGGCCGGAGCAGGTGTTGTCGGGCGCCGGCACCGGACCGCAGTGCGCGCTGATGGATGACGTCACGCGGTGGATACCGCACAGCAGCTCGCACCCGACCAGGGTCACCACTCCACTCACTGGACTGTCAAACAATCATCCTAACAATATATACTACTTACCGGAGCGCATAGACATCTACAACGTAAATGCCGCCACCCATTTTTGAGACTGAGATATGAGTTGTATGGTCTCAGTATAGTTACAAGGGCTGCCCCACCCTTCAAGCCGATACGCACTACTGCTTCACGGCAGAAATAGGCAGGGTGATGGTACCTACCCGTGCGGACTTACAAGAGGTCCTACCATCAGTAATTACGCAAATTATAATTTTGCGGGTTTGATTTTTATTACACGATGTTATTTTTTCACCGTGGAAGTCAATCGTGAACATTTGTCGAGTACGTATTTCATTAGAAAAATTAGTATCCGCCTGCGGGATTCGAACACCGGTGCATCGCTCAACACGAATGCACCGGACGTCTTATGCTTTAGGCCACGACGACTTCACGGCAGAAATAACAACTAACAACGGTTACTGTGTCAATTCGCATGGGTAAAGCTGTAATGCCTATTTCTACTGCAAAGCAATGGTAGGTACATTGTTCGATTGCTCTCGCAACTTCGGCATGCCCGTAAGCCCGGTGGCATTTATTATCTCGTCATTAAGTCATTAGGTATATGATTAAGTTGCTAGTATTAATTACGCTTTAATTTGTGTAATACTTAGTTAGTCATGATAGTTTATTTATTTCGAGTGTTATTCGTTTTGTGTCGACTTATAACTTGTTAGTTCCTAAAGAAAACCAAAAGAACGATTCCCAATATATTAATTTAATATTTTTTTTAGTTATTGGCTCCAACGCCTTAGGCTTTGATTTGCAAATGGCACAATATAAAAAAATAACAACCGGTACTTAGAGAAAGAAAAAAGAAACTAAATACAAATAAGTTTTATCAGTTTATTCATACGCCAATCTGTGATTTTAAGAACAGCACAAACAAATATGTTAGACTAACTACTTTAAAGAAGAATATTATTAGTTGATAAAAATTCACATAAAATATAATATTGACATGTTTCGAATATACTAAAGTTAATATAAAATTAATTAATTTAACTTACCAAAATTTTATTAATTCTTTGGGATCGGCGCCTTCGTTGATACGGACGATGAATTCGGCCAGAAACAGATCTAGCCATGTCGTTTTCTGGAAGGTTGACTTTAAGTTAACATAGATCTTACTAAACTTCTTAGAAAATATTTTTGGCATAACCGTTGGCATAAATAACAGTGAAGCTGTAGTGTTTAATGCTCTAAAATATAGTCCAAGGAGACATGTCTTCTTCCCTCTCTCTCGTCCTTTCATCATGCGGCATGTATTGATATAAAAATACAGCTATATAAACCTTTTTCCTATCTATCTACATATATAAAAATGAATTGCTGTTCGTTAGTCTCAAATGCGTACTCATCAAATGTTCACGACTGACTTCCACGGTGAAGGAATAGTATTGTGTAATAAAAATCAAACCCGCAAAATTATAATTTGCGTAATTACTGGTGGTAGGACCTCTTGTGATTCCGCGCGGGTAGATACCACAACCGCGCCTATTTCTGCCGTGAAACAGTAATGCGTTTCGGTTTGAAGGGTGGGGCAGCCGTTGTAACTATACTGAGATCTTAGAACTTATATCTCAAGGTGGGTAACGCATTTACGTTGTAGATGTCTATGGGCTCCAGTAACCACTTAACACCAGGTGAGCAGTGAGATCGTCCACCCATCTAAGCAAAAAAAAAAGTCTCGCTAAAACTCGAGAACGGCTGGACCGATTTGACTAATTTTCGTCTTGAATTATTTGTAGAAGTCCAGAGAAGGTTTAAAAGGTAAACAAATATAAAAAATGCTCGGAATTAAATAAAAATAACAATTTTGTTTTTCCTTAGACATGTCCTCCGTCGGACGGATTCCTTTTGTTTGTTTTAAGTTTATTTTATACAAAAGTTTAGGTATTTTATTTATCGATTGAGACACTACGAAGTCTGCGGGTCAACTAGTAATAATTATTTAAGAATTGTATTATTACCTCATAAGTACCAGTTTCTGCCTTGAAGAAATGTTCCCAATATAATTTGAGCGCGTCCGGTTCGCCGTCGGCCATGTTCTCTGTGCTCCAACCTGCCGACCGCAACGTACTATTGTTAATTAATTGACTTTAATTAGGCAAGCATCGACTATTGGAACTAAGACCTTTACTTTGTTAGAATAACGAGTTATGCACTCTTCGTATTTTTAATCAATTTATGTTCTACTTCGTTCATTTTCAGTTGATGTAAACAGATTAACGTATGCACAATCTGGTAGATCTATGTATCCATTTACTATTCAACATTTCTCTTTGTAGAATGGAAGCTTGTGAAATACTTACTGATGATAAAATACGTTCATTGATAGAGCACACACCATGAAAAATGGAGATCTTGAACACTGTCAAATGACATGAACCTACGCGGCATAGGCGGACGACTGATTATTACAATAAATCCAATGTTGCTCTTAGAGAGAGTACAACGGCTGCCCCACCCTTGAAACCGAAACGCATTACTACTGTACTTTAAAAATTGAGATTAGAACTCATATCACAAGGTAGGTGGCGCTATTTATGTTGTAAATGTTCATGGGCTCCAGTAATCACTTAATACCAGGTGGGCCGTGAAGTCGTCCACCCAACTAAGCAATAAAAAAAGCACAATATATTTTTTCCCTACCTATTCGTTGGTAGCCTATGGAGCGGGGCTATTCTGGCTAAGCCCGAACGGACAAGAGCAATGCTTCGCAGAATTTACCACCGGATCGGAATCACAATATCAGTTAGCTGCCTAACACACTGGTAGTATCACACCTCTCTTCAGAATAGGATAGCTATTTTACAATGCAATTAGAGCATCGATCTCAAGTATCGCGGTGGACGACGACATTCATTTTTTACCTACAGACTAAAATGTACAGCACACTAAACTCCGGGCGACGATGGGCTGCCTACGACGATAAAGAATTGCTCGTAGTCGTTGTTATGTTCTATACAATAGCACGTGGTAACAAGGTTGTAGAAGATTTTTTTTTTTTATTGACTTTGTAGGCAGACGAGCATACGGCCCACCTGATGGTAAGTGGTCACCGTCGCTCATATACGTCAGCAATGCCAGGGGCAAAGCCAAGCCGCTGCCTACCATAATTTATTTTAAAAGTGGATAGTAACGAGACAAATATGATCACAGAAAACGCAGGCAAACAACTCTGATCGGATTTTCTGGATATTTATTTAAGGATAAGCAATAAGGTAAAAAAAGAGGTAGACCTAAGAAAAAATGGATGGATTGCGTAAATGGCGATATATGTAAGAAAGGAGTGAGCGAAGAAACAGTATATGATAGAGGAATATATAGTTATATATAAAGGAGGATATGGAAAGAGAAAATATGATGCACCGACCCCAGGTGACCGGGACGGCAGGAGAATGATATGAAGCAATAAGGTAATATCCGCTCGTACAGGTTTGGAACCTGCCCTATTGTCAGGAGGTATTCCTAAACGTTACGTAAGAAAATGAACCTATGTCAATATTCCATAGACATTGCACTATTAACCCGCAATGTGTTTCCTATATGAATATACCAAAACAAATTCAGACCACCAAGTAAATTATTTTCATCTTCATTAATATCTCATCAATTGCGTTCGTTCATCATTCTTCGTCCAAGCATTACACAGGTTTATTGGTGCACGTTTTTATTGATAACGCATCAAAAAGCCGGGATTCAAACCTGAATTATCATATCAAACATTTGATTAATTTTATTAGGTTGACTTTAATATCATCAAATAATATCATTACGTGCGAGTGTGGATATCAAACCAGATTCAACGTATTTGTGCAGCGAATAGTGATATGGCTGTCCCGTCGAACTCTAAAACCGATATTTGCTGAAGAGTAAGTGACAAGGAGAGGCCGTGGTCTTTTTTACATTCGTGAATAATAATAATAAAATATTCAAATGTTGGTTAAAATACATAACACCTACCGAAATTTGTAAATTCCCATTCGACTTGAAGCAAAACCTCCACTGGAAGAGAACTACACTCTGCTATAACGCTAATGATCACTTTAAATTATTATTCACTCTCTAAACAATCACTAAACGAGTATTTGACTTAAGACGATCGATTACAAAGACAATCTGTATGTTCAAATTGAGTTATCAGGTACTAATTAGTGTAAGAATACATAATTCAAAATCTTAATGTTTCATCAACTTGAATACGTATATTAAATAAATCAAAACCTGCAAAATGACATAGGAGTTAAATATGTGGTTATAATTGCAATATTATTGCGATGTTATATTTAATTTTGAGGTCAAGATTGTGTTTTTTTTTTGTTATATTTTCCAAGGAACGCAAAGCACATCACTTTTAAACTCTTCGATTTATACTAGTAACTGAACTCAAAGCTAGAATCTTTAATAAGAATAGGTACTTTTATCAGATTGAACGCGACCGAAACAGAGGCCGGACGGGCGTGTTACCGACTGTGGTCGTTATCAATCAAGTTCTTGTTTATTGGACAGCAGAGGGGAACGCAGATAAATAACAGGACTGTATTTAGCAATTGTTTACTCACGTCGAACTTCTACAATTGTAATCTGCAGAGTTTTAGCGCTAGACGACATCTTCCGTTCGACATACGCCTCTGCCTTTGTTACGTGTGTTTAAAATAAATACTCTATTTTAGCGAGGCATAACTTGGAGTCAAAGTAATAGGACCTAAGATTTTGAAGTTTTGATGATATGTATCTTTTTAATTATGTTAACAGTACTTAACAGTGCTGTTTATAGCTAAAGCCATAGCTAAAGAATAATCATGATATGTTATAGCCTAATACTCGAAACTTCACAATTCGTTCAAATTATTTGTGTCGGGCACAGTCATACTATGACGTCTGTTAGTATTAGATAGACACGAAATTTGAAAGGTGAAATGCATACATATATGGCGGAAAATATACACTTCGCACCTGTTACCGAGCATAGAAAAATTCGAAACGAAAGAAGTATTGTTGAGGTTTCAATAAAAGGACCAGTAGTGTTCTTAGACAATTATATTAACGGAAAGAGGAAGAAGGAACCATGACAGACATTTTTAAACAAATGACCATAGATTAATATAAATCAGTATTATAAAATTACCATAGATTACAACAGGTATAATAGAGTTTTGATGTAAAATGCTTCTAATGTACAATTTGGCTAAACGATAAACTGTATTTTATCATAACCATTTACATTGATTTTATCCGTGAGTGATGTGCCTTTTTCGGGATTTATTCAATCAAATTCACTCTGTTTAGTTAGTTGGTAATAGCCCTACTGAATACATAAAAAACAAAACAATACGACACACTGCGACAAACTTTATCGTCGAATACGAGAGATTGTTTGCATGTACTTTAATTACTGTTGAGTAACATATCATTTAGCGCATTATAAAATGGTAGTAAAGCGCATTCATATTTAAGAAAATAAAAATAAGTAAAGTGCGCGTCGGAAAACGCATTTGGGTTCCGTAGTTAGGATGAACGTCTTATGGGCAGACCCACAGAGCAGATGGAAAGCCCTGAACGGAGCAGTCTGGAGAGAAATACTGGACCAGGCCAAGTCCCATCCTGGGCTGTAAGGCCTGAACAGACGGGAGCTCAAGGTCAACCTTATCTATATGGTTATCAGGGTCTACGGACATGAGAACGAATACAGAAATTGTTTTATGAGTTTTTAATTATTTTCCGATTTTCCACTACAATACTATGAGTGCACTGGAATTTAGTTCAGAGAGAAATTAGACAAAGTAAAATTAAAATTAAAAAGTCTTGTATTTCTGATTGCTTAACTCTAAAGAGATTTTAACCTAAAATATTGCTTATCTCCATAACTAGTCAACATCATATCTTGTTCAAACCAACACTTTTATATTGTTTAGTACTCGTATCAACTTTTTTCTGAACTATTCAGCAAGCTATGAAAAAATTCCTACAATTACAAAGTGATTTAAAACTAATAATTTAACACTTATTTTGGTATAAACAGTCCACTTCAATAATGAGACAAGAAAACATGCTCAAAATTGTTAGCAATCTACCCGTGGTAAGCTGTCTAGTCGGATAGGGCTAACTTCACAGTTATCTCGATCGACAAGATGATGAATTTGGGCTCAAAAGTGGCGATTGCGCGAGCTGTTAAATGTCGCTGGCATAAGTCCTACGACAAATCCGTAGCGCAAGATTGGTCATTGTAACGAACCTTGGAGGAGGCAAGCTGTATGCAGGCATACATATCTAGGCTGTTAATAATGATGATCTTGGGATTCCTCACATGATTATTTAAGTCTGTTAAAGGTTTACAGATGGAACTTAAGCTTCATCTATTTTATCAAATTTCTTCTATCCAACTGGGAACCCCACCGAACGTGGTCTCGCCTTGTCGCGGCGGTGGGGCTTAAGCGTGCACCCCGATACCGTGGAGCAGCGTTGTCTGCACAGGGGTGCCGTGAACAAAGAAGACTGCACACAGCGTTCCCTTTTCCCACCTTTGCTGGACAAAGGGTGCGTGAAGCGGGAGAGGGCTCCCTTCTGGAGACCTCTTGGATGCTAGGCCATGTCCCCGGCAGCCCTTTGGCTGTTAAAGGGGAAGGCCCTCCAGAGGAGGGTACCGGCACGCCGGCGTGGTCACGCCGTGGTCAGACGTGTGGGTCTGTCAGTAATGGTAGACCCCACGTGGATGAGAAGTGAACCGGAGGGCACTCCCTTCCGGTCGCTGGTTGCCATGTCCCCGGCTGCCTCTTGGCAGCTAAAGGGGAAGGCCCTCCAGAGGGGGGTACCGGTTTACCGGCGTGGCTTCGAAGAAGCATACCGTAATCCCTACCGAGTAGGGGACGGGGGTCGCTGCCTAGCAGGGGCCGCGAGGATGCGAACCTCTATAAAAAATGCCCTAATCCTAAGCCTGTGACGTGCCCGGTGATGGGATGAGTGGCTGGAGGGAGTCCAGTCGTGAGGGCCGTCCCAGGGGACCGACCCCTGGTTAAATATCAAAGGAAAAAATTAATGATGGCAAAGTTTGTA